GGTGGGGAGTGGGGAGCAGGGTGCACATGCTGGGAAGAAGGCCCCAGAGAGAAGCAACGTTTAGGCTGGACAAAGGTGGCCTTCTTCCCGATCTTTGATAGCTAGGTGGTCTGGAAGCTGCTGTGGTATATTAGATGGGAAGCTGGCTCACTCCATCCCCTAGGTGAGGACGGCTGGAGGGGGTCCCATACTTTACTCTGGCAGTCTCTCTGCAATAAAGACTTGGCATATTAGCAAGTCACCTTACCTATTTCAGTTAATATTGACTGCACCATGGACTGCCAGAAGAGCAAACAAATCTACCTTGGAAGAAGTACAGCCAAAGCACTCCTTAGAAGTCTGGATGGTGAGAGTTTGACTCATGGACTTCGGAGGGCCCGGTCCCTGGAGAAGGACTTGATGCTTGGTAAAGGAGAGAGAGTAGGCAAAAGAAAGCGGACGACGCTCAATGAGATGGACAGACACAGTGACTGAGCCAGTGAACTCACACACAGTGGACTGACGCTGGCACAGGACCGGGCATGGCTTCCGTCTGCTGTAAACTGAATCACCATGAGTTGGAACCAGCTTCAGGGTCCCTAACAATAACAATTAGAGTGAGTAAGTCGGTTGTGAGTTTCTAACGTTTTACATAAATACGTAGGTGTTTTTGTTGTGTCAAAGAAAATGAAGAACGGCATCGGTTGTGAAGTTATGAAACCACATCAAATGCCAGCAGGAATCACGTTTCTGTCCGTGAAGTGGCCCCATTCTCGCCAGCTAACTTGGCCGCTACATTATTCTGGGAAGTGCACACAGTTAACGCACTTGGCTGCCAACTGAAAGACTAGAGATCCGAGTCCACCCAGAAGCAATCTACTTCTGAAATGTCAATCACTGAAAGCTCTGTTGGGCACTGTTCCACGCCGACTCACATAGGGCCGTTGTGAGTCGGAGTCGATCAATGGCACTGGTTGGCGAGGCCACTTCTAGAAATAGACCTGTGTCCAGTGGATTGAGCTGAGAAGGAAGTATTAAGCCTTATGGAAGAGTTGGCACTTACGTTTCTGTGCGCCTCTGGGTAGACATGCTGCTAAAGGCAGTAGTGTGAAGTAGTTGTGAAAGCTACCTGCTCAGATTGACAGGTGGTGTATACTGAACCAAGGATTTTCTATAGATGTGTCATTTTGTGGGTAAGTGCGATTCTGCTGAAGTCTCCAACTTCCTCCATCGTCTGTATTGTAGATGTCTTTGTGTTGGTTACAACAGACTTGTGGTGAGACCCCTGCACGTTGGTTTTAGTTGCATGGAGTTCTGCACAGGGAACTTTACCGTTTGGTCAAGCGGCCTCCTTCCATATTGTTTTGTGAGGTCCTTGAGGAATTGAGAGATGCTGAGGTTGGGCCATTGTGTCTGATCGGACAAGTGTAGAAATCTTCAGCAATTGACTTGTCTCCTTTCCTCTGCTGTTCGTCATCCCTGCTGTGTTTCTAGGAACACACAGTGATGGCACCAAGGACGGAACGAATGGAGCATCCATTTTCACCCAAGTTGAAATGCACTCAGGGTCACTGTGCACTGCTGAACATTTCCAGTGCATGGAAGTGTGTGCTCCTATCCCAGAATGCAGCAGGAAGCCTGGAGGTGGAGCTACGTCGCTCACATTTACAGCTACATGTTCATGCTTTGAAGCATCCAATCTGTCTAGAACGTGTTCGTCTTCCATTCTGTCTGCTTCTGCCTGGGCCTGTGTGCTCAGTGTTCTGCCTGGACCTCCTTCCACAGATGGAATTCTTCTTGAACCCACATCGGCCTATGTCCTTCCATCAGCACTGCTCTCCATCTTTTTTCTAGAGGTTTAGTCAGCCATTCTGTAACGGGCTGAGCACTTGTCCCATCCATTGCTCTCAGTCAGAGAGCACAGATATCTTCCATGTCTAGGCCCCTTAGTCTGGGTTATCTAAAGGAGCAAAGTCACACACATATGTATGTATGTATGTGTGTGTGTATATATATATATAT